AATTAGATCAGAACTCATGTTTCAGTGTGTGTGGACCTATCGCTCGCTCTAACCTACTGCACCAGGTAGCTGTAGCAAGCCCAGTTCCAAAAGAAAGACAAATTGTAGAAAAGAAACAGGGCAAAAGTAACTGTAAGAGGTAGTCAGGACCGTTTACCTATAGTGTACTCTGATTAAAAAAAGAAAAAGTGAATTCCCAGAAGTTTCAGCAAAAATTTGAGACTGCTGATCATAGTTTGAAACAGGTCAGGAATGAAGGAACACAGCCTTTCCACCCTTCATCCTGTATGGAAGGCTTCTTTCACGGCAAACTGCTGATGCAAGAACCATAGCCCATCAACAGTGCGAACAGCTGTAACAGACAAGCTGTGGTCAATGTTGCAGCACAGCTTCGGAGCAGCCACCAGCTCTCCAGCCTACCTGCTTCCCGAAGACTATCACCCTTGTAGCAGAAGCAGGAGAAGCAAACCTGTCAGTGCCTAATGCACTCCAGTGCTACACTTTAACAACTAACAAATGCGCATTAGGACCAGGACATCAGCCTCTGACTTTGGAAGTGGATTCCTTCTCCAGTCCCATTCCCCAATTTTACTATAAAACAGGCAGTAACCTGTGACAGGGACAAGGCTGATGTTACCAAAAAAATCAGTTGAAACATAAGAAGGGTTGCTGTTCTGTGTTCTGGGACACTACTCACATACATATATACATATATTTGTATAAGTAACTTGCTTGGCATTAGTGGGTAACTTCCCTGAAGCCTTAGGCTGCCCGCTGCAAATCTGCCACCTGGATACAGGGAACTGTCACTGACCCTTGGCAAGCTCAGTGCTGGAGGGCCCCAAGGACTCAACTGCAGCTTGAAACACTGACAGCAGCACGGCCTCTTCAAAGAGAAGGCAAGAATCTCCAGCCTGCCCCGAGACAATGAATGGGCCCAATGAGGGACAAAAGGTCCCAGATCCAAACAGCACCACTGGATCAGATGCCACTTGGCCACCACGTGGAGAACTTGTGCAGGGTGGGAACTTGGACTGTAAGGCCATGATGGCCCAGGGATTTCTTTGTTCGGGGTCCCTTTCCAGAGTTCAAAGAGAAGGCAAGAATCTCCAGCCTGCCCCGAGACAATGAATGGGCCCAATGAGGGACAAAAGGTCCCAGATCCAAACAGCACCACTGGATCAGATGCCACTTGGCCACCACGTGGAGAACTTGTGCAGGGTGGGAACTTGGACTGTAAGGCCATGATGGCCCAGGGATTTCTTTGTTCGGGGTCCCTTTCCAGAGGCACCCAGCCCAAGCTGTTTTGCACTGCTGTACCACTCAATAATTCATCTGGTGTACGTCGTGTTGGAGGCTCTGCTTTGGGAAACCGAGGGTTGAGCCTGAGGGATAAGGAAGCACCCAGCAGCAGGAACATGGCAGGAGGGGAAGTTGAAAAAGGGCACCCATCAGCACCCCCAAGCTGCCTGCTGCGAAGGGACTGAGGTGGACTGAGAACTGGCTGAATGGCAGAACTCAGAGGGTTGTCATCAGCGGCGCTGAGTCTAGTTGGAGGCCGGTGACTAGTGGTGTCCCCCAGGGGTCAGTACTGGGCCCAGTTTTGTTTAACTTCTTCATCAATGACCTGAAGAGTTAGAATGCACCCTCAGCAAGTTTGCTGATGACACAAAACTGTGAGGAGTGGTGAACACCCCAGAAGGCTGTGCTGCCATTCAGCGTGACCTGGACAGGCTGGAGAGCTGAGCGCAGAGGAACCTGATGAAGTTCAACAAGGGCAAGTGCAGGGTCCTGCACCTGGGGAGGAACCTCCCAATGCATCAGTACAGGCTCGGGGTGGAACTGCTGGAGAGCAGCTCTGCAGAGAGAGACCTGGTTGTCCTGGTGGATGACAGCTTAACCATGAGCCAGCAGTGTGCCCTG